TTTTATCTACTGTTCCTTTCTTTTTTCCATTTTAAATCATGCTTTTTATTTGTTTTTGTTTTTTAATGTCTCTGTAAAGCACTTTGAATCACCTTGCTGTTGAATTGTGCTATATAAATAAACTTGCCTTGATGATACCAATTTGTAGTTAGCTACAGATAGCTAGCTTGGTTAGCAAACTGTAGAGGTACAAACACCTGCAGATACCTGCCAAGTGACAGGTAAGTGACAGAATAACAACATGCGGGAATTTCACTCGCTAAAACTGATCCACAGACTTCTTCCACAGGGTTGTGGTATATTAACTGTACAAGCAAGCTGTGTATTTGTCAGATAATTGTACTGTAAATCCTCAAAAAACATTTCAAGCTTCATAAATGAAGCCGGGTTCAGTAGAGCTGAAGGAACTCTGAGCATAGTTCAGGAGACGCCATCAAGATCAAAAGTACTTCAGTGATCAGAAAGCGATGAGGAGTCATAGCTGAATGGTGAGTTTAATGGGATTTTTGGGCTCTTTGTGTTATTTCATAAGCTTTATGTCAGTTTCACTCATGCAGACTCTGCTGATGAAGGTCATGTGGTATGACGGAGAGGTCTAAAAGTGGCAGTGATAGGAAGTTAGTTAAAAAGGTTTATTATGATGCACAGACAGGAGCTTGATCATTGCAGACTGGAGTCTGGTTTCAGCAGAGGCTGGAGGCCAGGTGAGTCTGCCAGGTAACACGGGGAGAGTTTTGGACCTGAGGCAGAGCGCAGGAGAGGTAAATTACCAGATTCTTATTTGGTTCTAGAGTATTTTTGTGGCTGCTTTCCTTGTTTGTCTTTACTTCCTGTGTGTGTCCTCGCTCTTTTGTCAGTGCCTGGTTCACACCAGTGTGTAACTGTGTAATCACTCCCTGCTACATAGTTGATTTTGTCTTTCCCTTTGTCGGGTTCCCTGTTTGGGCTTCCTTAAGTTTCTTGTACTCAAGTTTGTTTTATCCTGTGAAGTTCATTGGACTTTGTGTATCCTGGTGTTTGCAAACGGGCACTGAAGATTAATTTTTTGATTTACGCCTATCATTCCCTCCAGGTAATACATGACACCACGGTTCTTCATTCAAAGATGGATTTGTGACTTAGATTCTTTGCACATGCTTTCTTGACTCCCCTTTGCATCACTTTAAGAGGCCTGTGCACAACACAGAATGTAACTTAGTTCCTACCCCTAAAGGAACAACAATAAGTAAAGGAAATAAATAAAATACATAAACACAATAAATTAAGCATATTGACATTTATGGCAGTTAAAACATCACTTGCCTCTGCACCACCATTATCCTTGTCTCATGTTCAGGCATCTTGCCCAAGGATATTTGTCATCCAGACTGGGGGAGCCAGGTATCAAACCACCAACCTTCCGATCAGTAGATGACCTGCTCCACCTCCTGAGCTACAGCCAATTCACATTCATGTTTCTTTCAGTAAATCATTTAAATCTACCAACTCTTGTCTGTTTTGTCTGTGCCCCATAGCAGGCTCAATGATCAGCCATTGAGGATGTGAGGTCTGTGCCAGTGGTGCTAGTTTCAGTCCTGTTTAAAGAGCCGGGGAAACCTGCAGTCATCTGAGACTGAAGAAGTCACGTGGATGAGTGAAGAAACGTTTCTCCCACTGAAAACCAAAACGTCCAGATGAAAACAATCAAGTTTTTGGGATTTCCTTACCTGGATGATTGAACATGGATCAAGACAGCACGCTGTAATATTTGACAGATAGCTGCACTTAAAATGCCCAAGAAACTACGGTCAGTGGCTTCAGTTAGTGGAGGTGACGAAAGATACTCCTAACTGAATCCAAATGAGTGAGTTTTAAACAGATTCTAGCCCCGTTTGGTTTTTATAAAGGGTGAACTTAGTTACACGTACTACAGTGTATTTTGTAGCCTGCTGTAAATATGGTTACTTTAGCTGTAACAATGGGTATTTTAACATGGGAGTCAGTGGGGATCGACTCACTTTGGGATCCAGCCCCATGTGGCCGTAAGAGGAACTGCAGTCCACTTCTGCACTGGCTTCATTTTACAGCCCTGGAGGTTGATGCTTGGACTAAAACGAGCCTCCTCCACTGCAGCAGTATGTAAATATGACAGAGGATAATAGGAAGCTACAGAGCAGCCCAGGAAAATCATAAACAGTGTGTAGGCTGTGCTTAAGCGACACCGTTTAATCCCAAATTTGGGCAGCTGAGAAGAGAGAGAGAGTAAAAGGAGGGGGGGCAGACAATGGAGGGGGGAGAAAGGAAAAAAGAAAGGAGAAAAGACAAAGGAGGAGAAGAGCGTGGGATGATAGGGACGGTTAAGACGAGGGGAGCGCACACACACGCGCGCGCGCGGAGGTGTGACGTCAAACTGGAGCGTAGCTGACAAGCTCGCTCCCCGGTGCCACTCGCTGACCAGTCTCCCGCTCTCTGCAAATCAACTCCACGCGGGTGCTACTGCACGCCCTTTTAAAAAAAAACACAGCGGAGGAGGAGTAAGAGGAGGAGAAGGAGAAAGAGCCAAACCCGGGAGGTCTCACGCGGAGAGAGACGGCTCGCGGGAGGACGAGGAACTGGAGGAGGAGGAGGAAGGAGGCTTCGCTCTCTGTCAGCCTCGCGCGCACAGCACGCGGAGGCAGAAGGCATTATTTACTGGACGCTTCCCATGGAGACGCTCTCCGTCTCGCGCGCCGTCCTCTCAGAGAGAAGCGGGTAGGATTGTGACGGAGGGCGGCTCTCTCAGATCTCACAGCCAGGTGTTGCATCCACCCCCCCTTCCCCGTTTCGATGGGGAGGCCTGAGGAGGGTTGAGTGGCTCGCGCTCTCGACTTTGATCTGGAGCCTCGCGCGCAACAACAAGTTGATATTTCTGAGTCGTCGCCGAGTTTCTAAGAGAACAAGATTTTTGGATGTTTTTTCGTGTTTTTTTGCGCCTCTCTGAGTTGCTGACCTCACCGCTGTCTGGATCTGTGTGCGCGCGCGTGTGTGTGTGAAGACAGAAGACTGGAATTAATGTGAATATTCGTGCTGCAGGCGCAGATAGGACAGCCATGGCACGGTAAAGCGGACCGAGCTGTGCCAACGACGCACGAGCCATTTGGAAATCTGGTCTCTGTGCCGCGTGCACTCCTCGTGTCCCCGCCTCGTTTTTCCCGCTCCTGGATTGCCGCGGCACCCCGATGGTGCGGAGGGTTGGTGGCTCGAGCTTGGACACGCCACCCGGTGATTGTTGTTGTTTTGTTGTTGTTATTGTTGTTTTGAGACGCTTCTGACGATGCGCGCGGTTCATCTTGGAGATGTTTTTCCTTTCCAGTAGGATTTCTGTGCGGGTTTTTTTCGTTTTTGAAATCGTTCGCGCGACAATGACCTCCAACCCAAGAGAGAAGCACGCGCCCCCGGTTCAGTGCGCACGAGAGGACGTTGTCTCCCCCAAAATCGCCGAGCTCCTTAACGCGCGGGAAGGGTGGGTTACGAGCCTGTAATCAGTGCGGCGAAGACACACACAGACAAACGGGACCAGCGCGCGCGGCGGCAGCTGCCATGGAGCTGTCAGAGGTCCGGTGCTCCAGCGCGAGCGAGGAGCTGTACACCATCAACAAGACCCCGAGCAGCAGCAACAACAGCAACAGCAGCGGCAGCGCGCGACCCAAACGGCTGCTGTGGCAGAACGCGGTGCGGCACATCACCGAGCAGCGCTTCATCCACGAGCAGGGCGGGGTAGGGGTGAAGGGCATCGGGCCGGACGAGCCCTACGACCCGAGCCAAGGGGCGCGGAAGCAGTCGGCAGGGCGGACGTCGGTGGGAGACCGGCACAACAACGGCGGGACCAAAGTGTTCCCGGAGCGCGCCAGCAGCGACCTGGGCTTCCTGCAGATCGACTGCGCGCCGAGCAACTCAGACTTCTTCCTGAACTGGGGCTACACTTATCGGGGCGTGATCTTCCCCACGCTGCGCAACTCCTTCAAGTCCCGCGACCTGGAGCGGCTGTACCAGCGCTACTTCCTGGGCCAAAGGCGCAAGTCGGTGGTGGTGATGAACATCCTGGACGTGGTGACCAAGCTCACCCTGCTGGTGCTGCACCTCACCCTGGCCTCCATCCCCATGGACCCCATCAAGGGGACGCTGCTGGGCTTCTTCACGGGCATCGAAGTTGTTATTTGTGCCTTAGTGGTGGTGCGAAAGGACACCACGTCGCACAGCTACCTGCAGTACAGCGGCGTGGTCACCTGGGTGGCAATGGCCACGCAGATCCTGGCGGCAGGGCTGGGCTACGGGCTGCTGGGCGACGGGGTGGGGTACGTTCTCTTCACTCTGTTCGCCACCTACAGCATGCTGCCGCTGCCGCTCACCTGGGCCATCCTGGCCGGCCTGTTCACCTCGGGGCTTCACATCCTGGTCCAGCTGCTCATCTCCAAGAATGTGCAGCTCTCCAGCAACCAGGTGAGCCTTCGACATACCCTGCTTTCACGTCTCCTCCATTCCTCTGCTCTGTCTTCCTTCGTTTGCCCGAAGCAGCTGCTTTATCTTCCTCTTTCTCCTCCCTGAAACTTTATCTTTTTACGGAGCGCTGGTACCGGTGCTGATATTTACCGGATCTCTCAGCTGTGAGATGATGTTTCACTTTCCAAACCTACAGTCGGTTTATGTGCAGCTGGCATGTGTGTTTCCCCGTCTTTTAGAGCGCACAATTACAGTCGTAGACTCCACGACCAGGTGTGAATTTACCTGAGATGTTTTGTGTCGCCTGTGCTTCCCCGACTCTGGCTCAGGTGGTTTGATTTTTTCGTGTTTTAATAATGAAATGCGTCAGTTTGTGACAGCAGCCTGCTGTGACTGCCTCAGACTGCTGCAGGTTTCAGCACCAGGAGCTGTCCAACACACACAGACACACACACACAAAGGAGGGCTTGAAATGCAGCTGAGCTCCACACAGGTTTAGCGCCCCCTGCTGGTGAAAACAATAACTTAAATCTTTTTTGGTAAAATGCATCAAATTCCAGGAGATCTTTTAGAGTCAGATGCTTCATATGAAAGTGTGCAGGTGAACAGCCGAGAGGGTGATATTTCTAAATGTGCTTGCCTTTGATTGTCAGACTGTCTTATGGCACCATCATCATATATGTCCGAGTCCGTGAAAGCCCCAAGAAATGAACACAGAGCTCTCAGAAAGCTTCAAATAACCGCAGCAGTCTGTCAACATCGACTGAAGAGCTGATCATCAGATGTGGAAGTAAACAACGCAAGCTAATGAAGCAGAACACGATTCTGAGCAGTTTTGTTGCTACTTAGTATCTGAT